GAGCTGCCCGGCTGACCTCCAACCTGCAGCCCAAAGCGAGTGGCCGTTGTGATGATGGCCGCTCAGGCCGCACGTGTGGCCGAGCATCGACATGCAGTCGGCCGCCGCTCCTGCGCCCCGCCTCCCTGCGCCGTCCACCCTTGTCCCCTCCGAAACTTGGTCGTGTCTGTCTTGCTCAGCATGCTCCCTAACTGGTGATGCTGGCCAGTTTTGGTCCATCCTTGTGGCCTCATGTGGCCTCACAGGGGTCTGGTCTCATTGGTGGCTAGTGTGGCCACAGCACAGGCCATGGAGGAGGCTTAGGAAGGAGCGGCAGAGCCTGGATGGACCAGGATGTGGCCTCTGTCGGGGCCGAGCGTGGGGGCCGTACTGTCCATGTCCTGCTCTGTCCCCGCCCCTCCTGGACGAAGCCCAGGACAACCAGCTCTTGGCTTCACCCCCCAGGGTCCCCCTCGCCCCCAGGCGCCTCCCGGGGCGTCCTTCTCCGGGCTGCTGTCTGCCGGGGCAGAGGTGGAGAGTGAGGGAGAGGGACCGGACCCAGGAGAGAACCGCGTCCGAGCCCTTGAACGCCAGCCCTGGAGACAGAGCCTTCTGTCTGTCAGCTCCGGGGAGTCGCTGAAGGGATGGGAGCCAGGGAGCGGCGAGCAGGTCTGTATTTAAAAATGCTTCTCTTGGCGGTTTGGTGGCTCCGCAGGTGACACTGACCATCCGGGGGCCGTCCCCACTGACATCGTCGGACCCTTAATATGTGGGCACGTCGCCCCTGCGGTCGGTCGTAGGCGGGCTGGGGTGGGGAAGCCCTCAGCGACCTGACGCACACGGGCGCCCCCCATGTGGAAAGCGGGCGCGTGCGGAACCCTCGTAGGTTTAACGTGAAAAGGCGTCACTAAGGAGCGTGTCCCAGCCTCGCAATGGGGCGATGCCACGCCCCAGCGGAGCGGGCCGGACTAGGGTGCCCCGCCGAGCACCTCCTTCACCCCCAGCAGGGGCGGCAGCTTGCCCTCACGGGGGTCGGGTGTGGTCCCCTGTGACGGGAGGCCCCGGGGAGTGAGTCCCCGTCCCCAACGCACTGACTTCATGATCTGCGCAGAGAGGCCTGGCTCCAGACCCCCAAACGACAGGGCGTGCAGTACAGGGGTGAAGCACAGACTCGTCGGCCGGGGCCACGAGCCGGTGCCAGCGGCAGGCGCTGTGCCCTCCCAGGGTGCAGGGCGGGGCGGGAGTGAGGGCCACGGGGACATGCGGGATGCTGGTTCTGTGACGGTGGACACAGGGTGTGACACCAGGGCCCCCGTGCCATTTCGCACTCCGGGGCCTGAGTGTCCAGAAAGGTGTCCACGGGAGGCGGGCCTGGGCTGGAGCGAGAGGGGTGACCAGCACGATGGGGGTGGGGACCGGGCCCGGGCGTCGAGGCCGAAGTGTCGGGCTGTGTACGGGAGCCTTCAGGTCGCTTTTCTGGGGCACAAAAGCTGCAGGGGGACGTGAGCCACGCCGGACGCCCCGTGTTCACTGGACGAAGCTCGTGAGGTTGTCCCCCACCGACTGGACGGAAACGGACAGGCGAGGCTTTAGGGACCTCGGACTGGCCTGTCACTGCCCGTGCTGTGAAGGAGCTCCCAGGGTCACCTCTCACTGCGGGTCATCGGGGAGAGCCCCAGGCCACTCCCACGGGACGTCGGGTGTTATGGGGGGCTGCGCTGGGGACCCCACTCGGCCCTGGGATGCCCCTCACGTGCTGCTCCTGCGACCTTGGCGGTTTCCAGGCTCCCGGCCCGCCCGTGACGCACAGGTGGTCCCCACTCGCGAAGGGAGGAGCTGGCCAAGGGACTCACGACCCCCCCACTCTGACGGGCTGGACCCCTCGTCCCCCCCTGCAGCAGGACGAGGGATCCCGCCCCCTGTCCTCCCCCAGCCGAGGGCACCGCTGCCGAGGGCGACACAGGTGTTGCTCTCGATGACTAGAGATGGCTGCTGCACTCACCCCACGCCCCCTGCGACTCTGCTCCGGCCACGTGGGAGAGGCCAGGCTGCCGAGATGAACACGGACAGCACGTGTCGAGGGCCAGAGCTTCTGGACGCTTTGGGGCCCAGGGGCCACGTGTGGGTGTCTGCGGGGCCCGCCCCTGGCTCACGGTGGTTGTCCTGTGGCAGTTACTGACAGCAGCCCGTCCTGTTTCACTCAAGCATCCCAGCTTGGGGCGTCAATGATCCACTCACACGGGGCGAGTGGGGAAGAGGCCAGCTAGGGTGGTCCCGGGGGCATGACCCCGAAGGGCGGGGGCGTCTCCTGATGCTAAGGAGCCAGGCTAGAGTTTAAAGCAGCGAACTAAACATTGAAGAGCAAGGGAAGTGGGGGAGCATGGCGAAGCACGTCGCCCCCATTAGTCCGAACCACACGACGGGGGCCCCTAAGTCCCGGCCGTGGCCTGTGAGGAACCGGGCCGCACAGCAGGAGGGGAGCGGCGGGCGGGCGAGCGAAGCTTCAGCATCTGCGCGGCTCCCAGCACCGGCATCACCGCCTCGGCTCCGCCTCAGAGCCTCAGGCACTAGATTCTCACAGGAGCCCCGGGCCCTGGGGCCACAGAGATTGGGGACCTGCTGTACTGCACAACGGGAATGAGCCGAATGTGGGCTGTGGACTGCGGGGACTGTTGCCGAGGCCGGCTCAGGGAGGCCGCATCCGAGCCTTCTGGGGTCACACCTCAGGTCTGTCTTGGAGCAGTGGGGCCCCCAGGCCTGTGGGCTCCCGCGCCCGTAGAGTGAGCCACAGCCTCGGGGTGGGGGGTGTGGAACGGGGCCCCCAGACAAGGAACCGGTGAGGAGGCCCGACATCGTAGAGGCTGGTCACCCTCCCGGACGTCCCCGCGCGCAGGCGGTGGGCACGGCAGTCCTGCGAGGCTTTTGTGTTTCACCTTGGGACTCGGGGCAGCGATGACGGGGTTAACAGCGAGAGCCCTGTGTGTTCTCCTCGTCATCGTCATCGTTTTAAACTGTGAGGGAGCCCTGCTGACACCTGTCACAGAGCCCAGCTCCTACCCACGCGACGACCGGGGGCAGCCCGTGAGCAGCCGCAGGAGGCGGTCCTGTCCCCCCCGGTGACCCACGCGCCTCCTTACGAGCAGCCACACTGGTCTCAGCCCCTGGTCTGTCAGGGCTGCAGCTCAGGGGCACCTGTGAGGCCTGTCCTCAGGGAAGGACACAAGGTCACTGCCTCCCAGGCGGGGTCTGACTCTGGCCTCTGGCTCCCAAGGTACCAGGATGAACTGGAATGAGCCGGAATGAGCCTGGACAACCCGGGATGAGCTGCCGCCTCCAGAGATGCCCTCGGGCCGCAGCCCAGGCTGTCCTCAGAGCCACCACTTCCTCCAGCTCCGGCGGGCCCGCCCCTCCCCGGTGCCCCCGCCCGCCCGTGCCATCTGCCAGCTCGCTGACTGGCGCCCTGTCAGCTTCCCCGCTGCAGCTGTGAGCCTGGAGAGCGAGGATCTGGCTTAGCAGGAAAATGAATCTGAAATCCCCCCTCTCGGCCCCCCCTCGCCCCCCCGAGGACCAATGTATCTGCCAGTCCAGCCTCCAAGTGGAGTCGAGGCCAAGCTGGCGACCTGCCCAAGCTCGTCAGCTTCCCTGACCAGATGACGGCAGAGCAGCGCTCGGCCAGGAGAAGGCCGCAGTGAGCTCGCTGCCGGGCCCAGAGCCGGGAGGGGGCGGGGGACCAGAAGCTTCTCCCAGGCTGCCAGGGAGCTGCGGCTGCGGCGGGCCCTCGCCTTGGAGGAGGCATAAAGTCACGGCGTGCGTGTGCGCATGCATGTTCACGTGTGCGCACATGTTCACGTCCACGCTGTGCACTGTGGGGCGGCAGAGAAGGCACGAGGGGGCATTTAAACGCTGCCAGCCGTTCAGAGTCCTTGCAGGTGGTCTGTGGTGCCCGCGCCTGCCTCGGCCTTGACACAGGACGGCTACTCTAGGCCAGTCCACGTGCCGTGGTCCCCAGGGTGCTGTGACCCAGGCCCGGACTCCCGTCACACGAGTCTGCACACAGCTGGAGCTGAAGAGCCTGCCAGTGCCGGTCCCCAGACGTCGGCAGGATGCAGTGCGTAGACTCGTTCATTCATTCAGCACAGATTCTCTAAGCGTGACATCCTGCGTGTCCCCGTCTCTGGACTGTGGGGGGTGCCAGGGGAAGTGCAAGAGGGGGCCACGGTTCTGTGTAAGAGGGCGGGAAAGAGCCAGAGGTCCCCCAACCGCCAGGCTGCTGGGCACTTCGCCTCGAGCGGCCGCCCGTAACGCCAGACGCCAGTGTCCACTCCATCCTCGCGTGAAACCGGTTCGCATGGCTTCTGGTTCTCACCGTCATCTAGGTAACCCCTCCGTCCCTGACCCTCCTGCTCTCTCTGCCCCCCAGGCTGCGTGCTTGGCCTCAGCGCACCCCGGCAGGGTTCCGGGCCTCGGCCTCGCCCCTGGCTGTGGCCACGCCCACGAAAGGCCCACATCTGTGTCCGCCCCTGGCTTCTCTGCGGAGCCCCGGGCTGCACCGCCAGCTGCCCTGCACCCCTCTGCTCAGGAGACTCACGCGCGCCTCCGACCAGCTCACGGGGCCCGGTGTGTCTTGTCTTCGCCCCAGACCTGGCCCCTGTCTGCAGTCCCCCCTGGGAAGGCTCCCTCCCTCCGATCTCTGAGCCGATTCGGGACACCCCCATGACTGCTGGCCAGCCCGGTGCCGCGCCCCACTCCCCGGCAGCGCCCCTCCCTGCTGCCACCTCCAGCGGCCATCGCTTGTGTCCTGACCCCCTCCAAGACTCCTGCCTGGTGCCTCCACCCCACAGTGTGCCCTCCCCACCTTGCAGCCAGCTTCCCTCCGACACCCCCGTTTAATCCATGCTGCAAACTGCCTCCGCCCAGCTTTCTTCTGTGCAGACGGCAGACGGCAGACGACACCCTTTTGTGCCTCGCTCCTCTGTGTGAAATTCGTCCTTGGCTCTCCGTGACCTTCAGGTGCAGTCTCAGCGCGTCAAGGGCGTGCGAGGCCTCCCCATCCACTCCTGCACCCTCCGACCTCTGCACACCTCCACCGGCAGGCATAGGGCCGGACGGGCCAGGCCCCCGTGCTCGGTGGGCTCCCCAGTGCCGGCTTAGGCTTCAACCCCGCTGGCACCTCTCCCCACGTCCACCAGGCCCGGCAGCCTACACAAGGTGCTTCTGCTGCTTCCCTGCACCCCCTGGATTTGTCACTATTACGGGGACCGTCTCCTCACTTCCCCGCCAGCTTCCGAGCTGCCTGGGCCGGCACATGGGACTTGCTTTGAAGCTCCAATCAGGAGAGCAGGTCCCTCTTACCTTGAGGCCTCAGTGAGTATTTGGGAAATGGAGGGATGACCACGCCTTCCCTGTCCCCGCACTGTGATTGGAGGAAATGACCACGCTCTCCCCCCCGTGACCCCGCGAGGGCCTGCGCCCCAGTTCTAGCAGGCATCACTGCTGAACAGCCCCTACTCTCTGAGAGCCAGGAAAGGGTTTCTTCCTCCACGCCAAGCGGAACCATCCGTCTTTCAGTGTGTCTGACATGGTGTCCCAAGTCACTGGTCTGAACGTCACCCGGCACCTTCCGACACCAGGTGCGTGCCGTCACAGAGCGGGCTGGAGGGCCTAGGTGCGGTCAGAACTGTGTCTAAACGTCGCGGACAGTTTTAGAGATTCAAACGAATGTTTTAAGAATGACCTTTGTAATTTTGGCAAGCTGTGGTGTTTAAGGACCAGGACCGACGGATGGGAAGCTCGGGGACCAGGTGGCTTTAAGGACCAGGACCGACGGATGGGAAGCTCGGGGAGATTCACGCCCTTGTGCGTGCTTGGCGGAGCCGGGGAGTGCTCGGGCCTTGAAGGAATGTAGGGCAGGGTGCGGGATGGAGTGCCCCGGAGCAGAGCCGCGTCTCGTCGGTCTGAGCTCAGCGGACAGCCTGACAGGCCCCCGTGCGGGCCCAGCATGCATCTGTCTCCCGTCCGGCCTGCCAGCCCGCACCCTCAGACCAGCTGCCCGCAGCTCTGCTCTCAGATGTGGGCCTGTGAGTCTGCCACGTGCTCGCAGATCTAAAAAAGAGATCAGATTGCTGTTATGTCTGTGAGAAGGAGCCTGCATTTTAAGATGATGGGGATGTGTGTTTAAAAAAAAATCAGCGCTCACAGGCCAAGGATTTTTCCAGGGCGCACGGCTGACTCACTGTCTGTCTTTCACATGTAGCTTTGGGAACTGGGACCAGCGCCACCGGTGAGCGGTCGGAGAAGGCAGGGGTAGCGGGTCTGGGAACAGCACCTGACACTCCCGGCCACCGTGGGCCCCACGTCGCTGCTCCTGCCCTGAAGATGCCCACTTATGGGGACAGGAGTTGTTGGAACCGCTGGATCCATCCTGAGGGGACTTGAGAGGACAGCCAGTGACAGATTCAGTCCTGCCCAGAACCCAAGCTTCCACCCAGGATGCTGGCAGAGCCGGGGTGGGGGTGGGGGCTGTTTCTGGCTTCACCTGGAAAGCTGGTGGCGAGGGCCTCCCAGCATCCAGGCGCCGACCTGCACGTGGGAGGAGGGTACAGTCCGCTTTATGGTGAGCTCTGCGGTGAGGGTCTCTGACCCTGGCCTCTCCCGGCCTTTTTGAGCCACGCCCTCTCTGTAGAAGTCAGAGGGCAGGTGTCTTGGGACCATGTCCGCCCTCCTGAAAATGGACCTTGCTGGGCTTGGGGTCCCTCGTCGGGCCTGGAGGCGCAGGCTGGCCATCAATAGGGGCCAAGGTTGCTCCCCGATCTCTCATGTTGGAGCCCTAAACACCAAGACCTCAGAATGTGGCAGTCTTCGGAACTAGTGTCTTCAGAGGTAATTCAGGTAAAATGGGGCTATTAGGGTGTCACTATGAGGAGAGGGAGGAGGACACGGGCACACCCAGAGGGGTTCCACGCGAGGACCCCGGGAAGAGGAGAGGCGCCTCAGGAGGGAGCAGCCCCGCCGACAGCCCGACCTCCGACTCTGGCCCCAGAGACGTGAGGAAGCTTCCGTCACGAGCCCCATCGGTGGGGTTTGTCATGACAGCCCCGGCACAGGGCCCAGTGACCCCACATCTGGGTTCTCCACGTTGGCAGTTCAGCGGTGAGGGCCGTGGGCTCTCTGACGCCCAGGCGGGCTTGGGGTCACCGACAGAGGAAGGAGAAGCGATGCCAGGTGGCGTCCAAGCTGGGTGCTCTGCTCAGGATCGGAGGTGCTTGTGCGGTGTACCCCTGGGAACCAGTCCCACGCCGGGAGAAGCCTGGGCCACAGAGAAAGGCCCCGTGTAGCCCTTTGGTCAACAGGCCTGTCGAGTCACCGCCCTGGGGCACCAGACGTGCATGAGGGACTCCCCAGAAAGTTCCAGGCCCTGGCCCTTCCGGTCTCTCCCAGCTGTCTGAGCCCCCTCATAAGAGGCCTGGACATTGGGGAGCAGAGGGGACAGAGGCCAGCACTCCTGTGTGCCTGGTCCACATTGCGCTGGACACATTGTGAGGTGTCTTGGGGATGCTCAGAGGGGACACGGATGGGGACAGAGAGGCA